AAAAAAAAAAAAAAAAACTAAAGGCAAGTTCATTGCCTAATTGTACACAATGCATTCTTATTTTGAAGCTTCAAGTGAAATATGGCTGCCAAACAAGGTTAAGTGGTTGGCAGAAGAGAAATCCCACAAACTGCTAATTTTTAGTTTGGTTTCAAACACTGTTTTTATCATCCCCAAACCAAAGTTAACAATGGGATTAACATTTCAGAACTACAATCTGCATCTCTGGGCAAGGATTCTGAGTACATGGGACCTTCTGTCACCATTGTCTGGCCTCTGGACTAAGGCTCTTTTTGACAGCCATGGTCTACAAGCCCCTGAGGGATTTAGTGATTCAGGGAACATTCATGCAAGAATAGTGTCCCTCTATCAGAACCAAAAGATCATTAATTTCTTGGTCCTTTCAATCAATGGTTCTCAAACCTAGCTGAGTATCAGAATTTCCTGGGAAGTTTAAAAAGAGATTTCTGAGTTCCACTTCAGACATACATAATCAGAATTTCTGGGGAAGAGGCCCAGTCGTCTGTATTTTTAAGAGTTGCTCGGGGATTCTGATATGCATCGAGTTTTGCGACCACTACTTTAAACAGGCTGTGGAGAAAATGCCTGTCTGAAATAGTTTTTTAGATAGCAGAGTGAGGCTGTCCTGGTTGGAAGGGAATATAACCAATCACCCCTAATTCTGCATCACACAGGAGAGAGAAGGGAAATGACTCCAAGGAGTTCTCCCTTTCTCCACACAGTTTTTGGTGACCTCTGTCATTTGTTCAAGGGAAAGGAGCCATGCTCTGATCCAGTTACCCACTTTTCACCTCACCCGGAGGGCTCCATATTCACATATGTGTTTGTTGGGCACTGTGAAGAGCTGAGCATTTATTTCCTACTAGAGATTTAGGTTGCCAAAATAAGGTTGCCAAGGATCTACTGAAAAGTGAAGAAGGCACCTGGAGAAGAACCCAAAGTGAGAGCAGCAAAGGATTTTAGTAATAGTGGGACAGACTCTTTATTTCCAAGATACCACACCAACCCACAGACCCCACCATGCACCGTATTAAAAAACAAAAACAAAACAAAAAACTCTACTACTTATTTTAGTTCCTTCTCAAGCCTTTGGGTTTTTAAAAAAAATCTCATTTAGGACCTCAGCCAGAAAAGGTTGGCAGCTAGTGAAGTAGAAGAAAGGGCCAAGGACTGTCGAAGGAATGAACAAACATTCACGACTTTTCTTTTGTAATGCACATACACTTGTCTGAGTGCCTTTGGCTACCTGCTAATGCTGGGTGATGTGATCCCACAACACCCCTCTTTCTGAAGCTGAGTTAATATTGGGGTCTACTAATGATACTCTGGTGGGAATTGGGGTGGGCCTGGGAGAGCCTCTGGCCATCAGAGGATTGGGGCTTAGGCCGGGGTCAGAGAATGTGTGCAGCTGTCAGTCTGTGCCCAACTGGCATGCGGCCATGGAGAGTGGGGACTGGCCGGATAAATGGGAAAGTAGGTTCAAGTAAGAGGTCACAATAAAACTCATACCTCATGCCAGCAGCTGTACATGATGGTATATACTCTCTCTGAAGCCAGATGAGGCCTATAGAGACGCAGGCCTTGAGCAATGTGCTCAGCGGTCTCACTGTTATTAAATCTTTCATATGGCATCTTCCCCAGGGAGTAAATTTCCCACATCAAAACCCCTAGAAGACAAAAATAAAAGTATTAAGTCAGTTTGCAGTCTTTTGGGGTAGTAGGGGTCCTCGTCTTCCCAGAGCAACCTCCAAGATTAGAATCAGCTGGTTCTTCCCTCTGAGCTTTTTGCATTTTGCCCAAACTTCTGCTATGGTACTGACCACAATGTGTGCCGGGGGACTGGAGATCAGGGTGGCACTAGATTATTAACTCCTCTAGAAGAGAGACAGCATCTTATTTGTCTCTGTAGTTATAGGGTCTGGCAGAGTTCCTGGTACACAATCAGTATTCAGAAGCTGTTGAAAACTGAATGAAGGCAGGGATCATGTCCAGTTTACTGTTTTTATCCTCAGAAACCCCCGTGGTGCCTGACACATAGCAAGCCCTCCCCGAGAATTAAATGAATGAAAGAACAATCTCTCTGTGCAGGTTGCAAAGTTTGAATTTTCCCATTGCATTTCTCTTCCTTTGAGCTGTGTAATCTGTATAATCTTATTCGCTTACCAAAAGCCCAGATGTCAGACTTGCTGCTGAACTTGCTATACATAAGGACTTCTGGCGGAGACCACCGGACTGGAAACTTGGAGCCTACTGAGCTTGTGTATTCATCATCCAGGACGTACCTGCAAGGCGTTCAGCACTTGTTAGCATTAGGGTTTGGAGAGCTCTGATATTTAAGTTTTCTTGGCACAATCACAAGAGTGGCACAGATACATGCTTACAGCCTTTCTCTAAAGCCTCTGCTGGTCAACCAATATGTTTTACAAATGTTACTTTTAACCAATTTCCTGTTTTCATATCTGAGCTTTCCTGATGGACAGTATGGTTACAGGAAGGGTGAAGTGAAATAAGATCTAGCAGGTGTTCCCTTCCTCTTCTGGGTCCCCCTTTCCTTTCTCTGCTCTTTTTCCCTTCCTTCTGCTCTGCGGTTGCCAGTGGGAATTAGACTGATTAAGAAAGAAGGAGGGATGGAGCAGAGTCAACAGGATTAACAGATCAAGATAAGGTACTGGGGAAATAGCTACAAAAAAAAGAGGGGGCAGAAATAAAGGGAGAAAGGAGAGGAGAGAGATGTAACAATGAAACAAAAGTATGAAAGAAATGGCTTAAACAATTCAGAGGAAGCAAAAGGAATAGAAAGATAGCAGAAAACACTAGAATGAGAAAAAAAGACAAGGAGGAGATTAAAAACTATAACACCTCCTCATGTTTGTACTATGCTATTTTTATTTTTAAAGGGAAAGATGAAAAAGGTACACTCACCTGGACAGGCCAAAGTCAGACACTTTAACAACTCCTTGATCATTTACCAAACAGTTTCGAGCCGCCTGTGGTGCAACAGATACGCGTGAGACTCCATCCCTGGCACATGGGTCAAAGGCACAAAGCTTCTCCCCACCAGTAGAATGAAGCCAGGGAAGCCTCATCGCCTTTGAGTACAGAAACCTTCCCAACTAATTCAAGTTTTTTGATGCCACCGAGAAATTTTTATGCATTTCCACCCCATGGGGAAAGCAACCTGATATATAGTCCTGAGTAAAGACTGGGGACACGCAGAACAATTTCATTCACATGGGCAATTCCACAACACTCCTTCCTGCACTGAAATGCTGAAAGAATTGAGAGAGAATAGGAAGCAAGTTTGTTTTTTGCTTTTCGGCCAGTGAGACTAGGGCAATTTCAGCCTTGGCCTGGCTGAAAGAAACAGGGGCACAAACTCTGGTGCCTCCAGGGGCTAGGCAGGAAAGTAAGAGTGAAGTGGGGTAAGTGGAGATTGCAGGGAATGGAGGACACGTGCCTGGTCTAAAGGAAAGGAGCCAGGGTGGGAGGATTGCTCGAGACCAGGAGTCTAAGACCAGCCTGGGCAACATAGTGAGACCCTTTCTCTACTTTTTTTTTTTTTTTGAGACAGGGTCTCGCTCTGCCACCCGGGTTAGAGTGCAGTGGTGTCATCAGAGCTCACTGCAACTTCAAACTCCTGGGCTTAATTGATCCTCCTGCCTCGGCCTCCCAAGTAGGTGGGACTACAGGTATGCACCACCATGCCCAGCTAATTTTTCTATTTTTGTATAGACAGGGTCTCCCTCTTGCTGGCCTCAAACTCCTGGCCTCAAGCAATCCTCATCCTCCCAAAGTGCTAGGATTACAGGCATGAGCCAATGTGCCCAACCCCCCTTTCTCTACTTTTATAATATTTTTAAAAACTAGCTGGGCATGGTGACATGTGCTTGTAGTCCTAGTTGCTCAGAAGGCTGAGGTGGGAGGATGGTTTGAATTCAGGAATTTGAGGCTTCTGCGAGCTATGATCATGCCACTGCACTCCAGCCTGGGTGATAGAGTGAGACCCTGTCTCTAAAAATAAATAAAGGAAAGAGGTGGTCTGTGAGAATATGGACCTGGTATTTCAAGATGATCTAGATTTTCAAAAGAAGCTGGAAATTCCAGTTTTTTTTAAAAAAAATGTGAAATGTCTCTTTTTAAGTGTTTACTATGTATAACATTTGAAAAAAACATGTGGGCCAAATGCACCCACAGGCCACAGTTTGTGACTCTGATGTAACCAAATGACAGATAGCCCCATGCCAAGAGCAGTCTCATTGGGAAGCACAGTCCCTTCTGCTCCGAGTACAGAATGGCCACTGAAGGACTCCACCTCTTCCTTGTTGGCAGTAGGGAGCTGGAGATGAGTGACTGCTCTAGCTCCCACCATGGCAGACCTCATGGACTTGAGGCTGGAGATACTTGCCTGGCTCACCACTGGGGCTGAGACACACCAAACTTTTAGTGTTTTCTACACAAAACTGAAATGACAGCACCAGCAACCCTTCTCAACCATGTGTGATATATCTTCCACTGCTACTTCTACCCCCTCAGCCCTTGGTCCCCTGCCAATCCTTCCGAGGTCCCACCAGGTCTCGGTGAAGGAACTGCTTTGACTCCAGGTATTCCATGGCTTCACAGACATCCTTGCACATCTCCAGCAGCTGCTGAGTCTGAAAGCGGTGGCGCATCTCCCTCAGGTAGTTCAGGAGGCAGCCATTGGCCATGTACTCAGTGATGATGAAGATGGGGCGCTGTTTGGTGCAGACGCCATACAACTGCACCAGCTTCTCATGGGAAAGATTCCTACAGGAGAGGCAGCAAGGAACCAGTTCTCCCCTTTTGGCTTTACATACTAGTCATAAAGGGGCTGAGGAGGAGAGGGGGTGGCCTAAGAGTAGAGCATCACATAAGGGACCATCATAGCAAGTTTACTTTCTTCCTTCCCACCCTTAACCCCAAGAGTGCTTAATATGTGGAGGTGAGCATGGATTTGGAGCTCATCAGTTGAATAGGAAAAAAAGTCTAGGGCTGAAAGAACACTAAGGCTAAATTAGAATCAGTCTTTCTTTTGAAAGTTTCACTTTCTACATCTAGCCCCAAATGCTATTCAGATGGTACACACCCATGATCAACACTATTCTCAACCAATATCTAAGGAAGAAAAATGATTACCTTAGCAGTTAGGACTCCCACCAGTCAAAGGTTGACCTCAGGCCCTGGTCCCAAATCTTTCTCACTGTAAGTCACCTTTAAACCACAGTGGGTTGTCCTGGTAATTCCTAGACTCCAGAAAATAGATTGAGAGTTGAGTTTGGGCTGTAACTCACATCATGACTTTAGCTTCTTCAATGAATTCATCTTCGGACATGGAGCCTTCTTTGATCATCTTGATGGCCACATCATACTGGCCTCTCCATTTCCCATACTTCACTACTCCAAACTGTCCAGTCCCCAGCTCCTTCAAGAAGGTCAGGTCCTTTGGATCTATTTCCCATGATCCTAAGAACAAAGTCTTGGTGTGATTCTTTGGGGTCACGTGTACATAATTCCTACAATAGATAAGAGTCCCTACTGGGGTAGAAATAGGAAAAGTAGTAAAACGGAATTTCCCAGAAGTAGTAATCCATCTTTGCTCAAGTCAATCTCAGGGACAGGGGATTATTGGAGGAATCAGAATTTTAGGTTCAAGTTCGCCATAAGGAAAGAAGATAGACTAAACAACATCCCAAAAATTCCTTTATGATTATATTAATGATGGTAGTTAATGAACTCAAGGATGGTGCTGAAAATTTTTACCACAATTAAAAATAAAAGACAGGCGGGGCACAGTGGCTCATGCCTGGATGTAATCCTAGCACTCCAGGAGGCCGAGGCAGGAGGATCACTTGAGGTCAGGAGTTCGAGACCAGCCTGAGCAAGAGTGAG